AACCACCCATATTCATACCTAGCGTAAATATACTATACTATATATATATGCTCTACAGTATTGTATTGAGCACCTTAGCAGCTAATCATACAATTTTTAAGACATGTTTATTGGACAAAATGTTTAATTATTCTTAGCAACAAGAAACAAGTTTTTGTGGTTTAACCATCTTAAAAAATTCCAATGTGTCTTTTGAATGTGACTATTATATAACTACAGCATATATTCATCCTACACGCATTATTAAAATGTACACATCCAGATGTCTGCATCTTCTCAAAATGTTGTAGTGCAGTTTATTTCCACATTTAGACAAATTTGCTGAGCATTACAGCAGCATTTGAATCCAGGTGTTAGGTTGAATCCAGGTGTTAGGTTGAATCCAGGTGTTAGGTTGAATCTTGCTGTTACAGTATGTTTCATTCAATCAATCCATCAATCAATCCATCAATCCAGGTGTTAGAATTCAGATGTTGGTGTTACATCAATCACTGATGTTGCACGTGGTGAGGATGCCAACATTGAGAGCCATGTTTACGTGGTCGATAATTGAAGTGACGATTTAGGTAAAACAAGTAGATGACAAATATAATGCCACCTATAATGATGCTAGTCAGTGCAATGATGACAAGTGGTGCTGGATTCGGTAGCGGCGCCAGGTGAACATACACCTGTAAAGAAATATGTAAATGAATTAAAGACGGTAATTATTGACAAAAAATAAGGGTTCGAACTGCCCTTCTGGTGGTTATACCCCACCGTCTTCGTGGACTTGTGAAAAAAAATTATCAATGTTTGAGATCTACTAGGTAAATGCTTTGTGTCCTTTCTATTTTTCTATCTATAGAGAATTTTTATAGAAGAAATATAATAATTATATAATATAACTGTATACTGTATATGATGTTGTGACTTCAAAGATGTGGTACTCTATAGTTGTGGAATACTGACTTACCTGGAATTCATCTTCCAGAGGGCAGTATGAGAATCCATGTACAACAGTCATCTTAAAGTGATAAAGCTCTGACCCCTGTAACATAAAGGGCCGACTGGGATTCATATTAACAGGTCAAGTATCTAAATAAGGGCCACTCAGGGCCATGGAGGGCTCATGTTTGACACTATGATGGGGAATGAAAGACTATTCAATACCACTTCTCAGCACCTTTGACACATGTTTACATGGATGCAGTCTGTATTATTTCCGAGAGTTAATTATCTTTCTTCTAAAATAGAGCCACACCCCAGAGGCACATCCGATATCGGTGCATGACCAATTAAATGACAGACCAATCCACCATTACAAATAAAGAAACACTACAATTTTAATACATTCATAAATTAGCAGGCTTTTTTTCATACTATTTTTCAATTTAAAGCTAATAACTTAATTAATATACGAAGTAACCAATCCAAATACTTGTATTAAATATATTTAGCTCAATACAGACAATACAAATTCAAAAAGTATTAAATTATTTTATGAATTGCACGATAGACTCACCAGTAATGTAATTTTGATGGTATCTGGTGTGAGAAAAGTATCATGGTCCACAATATTAGGATCATTCTTCATAGCCTCTAAACTTGGCGTAGGCACATCTAAAACAAGATATACAATTGCATCATGCAATATCGTAAAGTCCCTTAATATATTTAAATAATTCCACACTAATTTTAACATAGAACAAATATTGAAATAATTAAAATACATACATAAATTATATCACTTATAACTCCTATATAATAAATATTATAATTGCACTTTTTTTTCTTTATACAAACATGACTAAATGCATTGACAAACACTACAAAGAAAGTTTTTAAAAAACATGACTAAATGCATTGACAAACACTACAAAGAAACTTTTTAAAAAACATGACTAAATGCATTGACAAACACTACAAAGAAACTTTTAAAAAAACATGACTAAATGCATTGACAAGCACCACAAAGAAGCACAAAGTGGTTTGTGCTCAAGAAGACTTACTTGTGACTGTGAAATCTTCTCTGTCATTTAACTCGGTTAGGGCTACAGCAAAAGAGCCGTTAAGAGCAATATCAGCTTTACCATACTGCCGAATAACAAACCTTGGTTCTAGACGGCCTGGGTAGAGTACAAGATACACCTGCAGAAAAGGGAGTCCCAGAAGATGTGCTTGATGGAATTTTAGTATTACATAATTAATAATTATTTATTGTTTGTGTTACTTTTATTTATTGATTTATTATAATTTAAGCGTCTTGAGACAATCCATCAATTGCAAATTACAATACCATACTCCGATAGAATGTGATCCTCTTTTCGTTTTTCTTCTACAGCTTACCTTTTCTTTACAATCTGAATATCGAGCCAGTGATGAATATTTCATTTCATTGGTACAGTTACAGTCAGCGTGATCTCTCGCATTGGCGCATTGCTTGAACGATCCTGATTCCTAAAAAGAGGGAGACACAAAAGCTTCGTGTCTGTCTCTTATACCCATCTAGATGTGTATAAGAGACAGACCTAATATAATGAATGATCTTTGATACTCTGGTACAACATGCACAAGGTAACGGTTACTTACTGTTAGCTTCATCAACCGTTTGTTCGATCCCCGTAAATACCCTGAAAGAAGAGAATATTACAGATAACAAATTGTTTTTTTACATGTGGGTAGCCCTAAAAACAAAGATGGGGTGGGCAGGACTGGGGGTGGGCATATACCTGTCTCTTATACACATCTAGATGTGTATAAGAGACAGCAGTTACAGTCAGCGTGATCTCTCGCATTGGCGCATTGCTTGAACGATCCTGATTCCTAAAAAGAGGGAGACACAAAAGCTTTGTGTACAGTAGCTTTTTGCTTTCGCTTTGAATGAAATAGGTCTGTGCTAATTACATCAAATTTATTAGGAGTATGAGCTCTTGTTAACTGGTTTGTCCCAGTGGCATATCATGGGGGTGAAGGGCCCATGTAAAAGCTTCCCCCTCCAGTCGTTCCCCCTCCCCACTGGAAATGTTTAGAGCAAAAAAACTTCATATTACCTTATTTTGCGAGTTAGCACCCTCTCACTTATTCATCGAGAGCCCCCACCCACTTCACCTTTTCCCCATCAGTTCTACACTTTTTTGAGCTCCCATATCTTCTAGCTCATTTACTCAATACTGGCCTGTGCGACACAATTCAGCCAGTTTGCCAAGACATGCCTTGTATGCTTCAGAGATACTTTGCAAGTAACATATTATGTAAACTACCTTTGAGATCAGATACTTGGTTCTTGGCACAGGCATTGATGGATCCGCATTGTAGATATTATCTGACAGTGGAATAGCCACACCTTTGGTAGATGGTGGACGATAATTCACCTGAAAAATGATTTATAAATACATTATATACTATACATATATAAGATGATGGATGACAACTAACCTGAAAACATATTAAAGTATGTGCATCATCTAGTAAGGATTACCTTGGACAGGTATGGAAATGAAACCAATTAACAATAAATAATGGAGTACATATGTTTATTTTGAAATGTATAATTATGGCAACTTTAGATGACTGGAAATGGCACCCTCACACTTAAGAATATAATTTTTTTTTCCTCCGAATTTTTTGAATAATTTTGAAAATAAGGGGTGGGGGGCAGCTAGGTCCCTCCTTGAATCTGCTGCTGGCACCCATATGACACACCACAAATTAGAATTCAGAGTGTGGGAGTGGTGGCCAGAGTTGTTGCACATTTTGATATTATAATTTATTCATCTTGCAATATAAAAAACAGTATTAAAAAGAATATAGTACTGACAATATAATTATCATTTTACCGAGAGACTACGAAAAATTGGCAGATTTTTCTCATCTTTTTTGTCCCCTTCTAGAAACTCCTCCATTGTTATCTTAGGTGTTTGCAAATAGTGAAGATGCTTTGTTGCTGGGCAACCACAAATGAAGCGAATTGACAGGGAAGTATGAGGACAAGTGAGGGACGATTGTGCAAGCTGGATGAGGATAGTCGATGAGCCCTAAAGAGTAAAACAGTACAAGTTGTACAGTTATAATCATTATTTCCTTCAATTGTGAATCTTGTTTTAACACAATTAAACCAGCAATTCCCAAACTTTCTTTCTGGTTGGTGATCAGCTTTACAACGGCGCAGTGCTCACCTTGTCAGAAACAAGGTAAGTTCACCCACATGCTTTTAAGGAAGCTTTTTTTTAACCATATTTATACACAGTGTCCCTTCCAGCGTATCCTAGAAGGTTGGCTGATATTCAGGGGCCCTCTTAAATATATGAAAGAATGTGATGCTTAGAAAGTGGTGTTGGTTTTGGTCGTGAGAAAAAGCCCGGTGTCACAGGAACTGAACCCAGCACCCTGGAATTAGAAGGCAAGCATCTTAACCACTAAGCTATTCAACTTCACTGGTAAAACAATGATGATAAGTAATGCCATGGTTATTTCTAAATGTACAGGCACTTTTCTGTGACCCATTGATAAACATTGGCAGCCAATTTTTGGGCAGTGACCCACAGTTTTGGAAGCGGTAATCTAAACAATCATGAATTTATATAAACAAGAACTTTAATAAAAAAAAATTTCTAAAGCACTTCAGTATTTGGGTCGTATAAAGAATGCCCATAAAATAATGTAATTGTTGCAAGTTTACATCATAGTCACTCCTTTCCCCATTCTGCTATACCTGTTGGTTGATTGGATTGTGAACTTCTACCGTCAGTGTCTCTATCCCAAGTCTATCTCTGTGATACTCTGGTACAACATGCACAAGGTAACGGTTACTTACTGTTAGCTTCATCAACCGTTTGTTCGATCCCCGTAAATACCCTGAAAGAAGAGAATATTACAGATAACAAATTGTTTTTTTACATGTGGGTAGCCCTATAAACAAAGATGGGGTGGGCAGGACTGGGGGTGGGCATATACCGTATTTATTATATATAATAAAAAATGCACCGGGGTGTTTATTGTTGAAAGGGTGTTTGAGGGGTTATTAATTTGAGGGAGGCATCTATTTTTTTTTTGTGTAAAATAGATATGTAATCCACTTAATTTCACTTTCAATGTGGAACTACAACACTAATTACTGCCAAAATGTGTTATTGCATGATCATAAAGACTTATTCTTCTATGGTGTTTTCCTTTGTTTATGCCCTGGGCATTTAGCAGTGGCAGTATTTTCCTTTATGTTTTTCCCTTCTGATCTATTAGGTTAAAAAAAAACGTGTGATACAGTTATGAAAGTGTACAAATATATATAATGTATTCATACTTATAACAGAATGTTAGCCTGTGCTAAGAATGAGCATGCATCACCTAGACTGCATCCATGTGAATGCGCATTTGTCCTGTGTAATATCCACAGATATTGCAGAAGCCAGTGACATGGCCCACAGCGTTATCTTTCACTGTGGCGCTGTAACTTCACTGCTTAATAATAGGGATTGTAACAACTTAGTTAAGAATGGCCAAACTACAGGAAAAAACCATGCAAGTAAACATTGCTAGCTGTTAGCCTTACCTATTTCTTTAGTTGTAGCAGTGACACTAAACTCGAAGCTATCTCCCATGTCCAAGTAGATCAGTCTGTTTTTAGCAATGATGTCATCTGGTACTAACTGATGATGACATACCCCTTCAGACAAACTGCTTGACCTTTCACCTGCATAATAAGTAATCTTCATTGATAATGAAAATGTAACTTTAAGAAATATTAATAAAATCAATTTTTGATGAAATCATTAAAATTGGGATGTTGTCATCATCTGACAAATAAATTGCTCGACCATTCTCCTGCATACTTAGAAAGCAATCATTATTGACAATGAATACAGTGACAACAGGCAATAACAATAAAATCATTACTGATGACATTAAAAGTGATGTTGTCATTCAACTGACAAGTGAGGGCACTACAACTGTACCCGTAACACTTAGCAACTGTTTCATCCTCTACTGATAAGAGGAAAATACCGAAGGATGAAGGAGTTCCCTAAACTATGTTGTTTCCACCCACTTGATTAATCTTCACATGAATATGTTTCAATTATTATCACAGTCCATCTTACCAAAAGCACCAGGTGAACTGTGCATAAACCATCTTCCAGCCAGATACTCTGTATTGACAAGTGAGGGCAGTACAGCTGTACCCATAGCAACTCTTTCATCCTCTACTGATAAGATGAGAATACTGGAGAGTCCAGGTTGGATGATGGTTTTTCCTACACTATGTTGTTGCCATCCTTCTGACTGACCTACAAATAACATATAATAATAACAATAGCAATGGGAATAACAATAACAAATTTTAATAAAAATAACAAAATTAATAATAGTGATGACAGTAATGGTTGTGGCATTCTATTTTTACATGCCAGATATATATTCAACAGTGATTTTTGTTAAATCATTAAACCTTCAGAAACAAAAGGGCCTAATGGGACTCAAATCCAAAGCTGTGTAACTTATCCTCATAACTAAGTTGGTAGATTATCCATTGGGAAATCGGAAGGCATTGGATTCGAATCCCGATGGTAACATAATTTTTTCTCAAAAAATATTCAAATTGTTGTTAAAGCATTTAGCAACGATTAGAGTTGGGTGTTTCATCATGTGTAAATACATATATAAATTTAGATAAAGTAATATATAAAGTAATTATATAATTTAAACATTTTGATTTCATACCTAATACACCTTGCAGTTGAAGATGTAGTTGTGAAGAATCACTGGATACAGCTAAGTGTAAGAAAGCAATAACTTGAGTATGTTTTTCAATTATTAAGGGTGTGTTTCTACTGATAAACACAAAATAATCGATTTTTTAAAACCGCTTTTTAATGAATACCAGACAGCCTGCTTGCGTTGCAACTGCATTTTTTATTTTTCGAAAATCGTTTTTTGTGACGAAAATTACGTCACCATTTTGTTTATACAACACTGTATAAGATAGTATCTTTCTCATTCCCGTTATGATGACGAGGAGTAAGATACGGTGTGGGGCGAGAAGGCAAACGTTTTCAGCTGTGCTCATCGGCACAACGAGCGACCAAACGAGGACAATGGTAGGCCCAAAAGAGCGGAGAGGCCTAGGCCCAATATCCCCTCACAAAATAATTACAAAACGAATTCGTCGTTCCACATGTTTGTTGACATTTTTAGCTTGTAGGCCTAGGACATGAACAAGAGGACTTATTTTTTTTAAAGTTCACACCTAATACGATCTAGTCTTTGCAGTGATTGACCTGGAGGTCACATTTCACCTGATAATCGCTTTTTTGTGTTGCAGCTAAAAGGTGCACAGCCAAAATCAGTTATTTGCCGTTCAAACACGCTATCCATTGCGTGTTTTTGATCAATTTTTTTTAATCGCTTTTTTCAAACTGGTCCCGTTTCTACTGTGAGAATAAAAGCGATTTTTCGAAAAAGTGATTTTTAATCGATTATTTCTTTCCAGTTGAAACAGGCCCTAAAAGAATGTTTTTTCACATTCAACATTTGCAACAGGATAATAATAATAACTTATATAGCACATATTGTTAAGCCCTCTATCGCTTCACATTATCATTACCACAGTCATTGAATTAAACGCCTATGGAACACAAACTCAAGCCTACCAGATAACCACTTATACTCCTGGGTGGAGAGAAGCAATGCAGATAAAGTGCCTTGCCCAAGGACACAAGTGAAATGCACAGCGAAGGATTGAAACCCCAACCTCAAGGTTGGGAAACCAAAACGTTCCTGCTGCGCCAAACGACTTCAAGGATGCAAATTATGATTCACGTGCAATGGCATATCTAGGAGTCTTGAAGTGGGGGTGCTGATGGGGGGGGGGGGTGTGCTGTCTCTTATACACATCTCTACGATCAGTTAATGGGCCACTAACTCAAACAAAGCAATTTTAGGTGCTTTTTAACAGCTTGACCATGCTTTTTATAGGCGGATGATGCCTGGGGCACAAGTAATTTTTGGAGGGGCATCTGCCCCCTAGATACGCCACTCTTCATGTGGAGTTGATTCAGTCAAAAAACTTTGTCTACAGGGTTTGAACCCAGTAATATGGGATTTGGAACACATAATCTAAACTACTAAGCTACAGCCCCAATCCAGTGACTAAAACTGAATAACATACACTTATTAATTTTTTGTCTATCAGTGCTAATATTGGGGAATTCTTTTCCACCTGTAATTCAAAACACATGACTTTTGAACAAGTTTAAGAATAAGTTTTAATAATAATTTTATCCAACTCTTTGGAGGAATTTTAAAACTTACTAATGTTATAATTTTGTGCTGGTTCAGATGAAAGTTTCTCAAAGGCCAAAGGTGAAACAACGTCTGCTGCGGCCATGATGCTAAAGCCATCTGCCCTATTCAGGTGTGTAATGTCAGTTATAAGTATTTGTCCGTCACTAATGAAAAACAAAAATTTAATAAGTATGTAATCTTAATCAAAAAATATTATAATTGGCTCAATCACACATCCATTCATATATCCATCCATCGGTTCAACAATTCACATTTCCATCCATTCATTTATCAGCGAATGTCATTTATTTATTTATCAAGCCATCTATTCATCCTTTTACCTATACCTCTATCCATTTAATCGTTCTTCTCTCCATCCCTTCCTCCATCCATCCATCTATCAATTTATACATTTATTGTACTAATTAATGGAACAACATAATTTGTTCATAAACATCATTGATAATACAGTAGAACCTCTCCTTTAGGGTACCCCTATTAAGGGGACACATTTTCATGCAGTAAATGGGGAAAAGTATATCTTTTAACACTACGGCCAACCCCTATTCAGGGACACTGGTCTCGGAGGTGTCCTAGGGATTTGTACTGTATTACTAATCTGTTGACACTTGGTGAAAATATTAAACATTTTGTATGGGTTATCTACTGTACCTAGTGGTTAATGTTGTCCCTATATCAGCCATGTGGAGGGTTCTGTTACAAGGTGTTCCTGTCAGGTTCTGGTGCTCAAACAGAAGAAGTCTCTTAGCTGTGATGTACTGAGCTGATAAAGGACAGCTTAGTTTGTCTTCTATAGCCTGTGATGGTAAAAATTACTGAAGGATTCAAATTAAACATTTTTAAAAAATTTATTTTTAATTCCTTTATATAACTAATGATTAATAAATAATGATGATTGTAGTGTTAGTGAAAAATGTTTACTAATGTAGTGTAATTTCTAAACTTAAAAACAATTTTTATACAAGTCAAAGGTGGATTCCGGCCCCCCCACCCTTTTGGAAAGCGAAAAATGAAAGAAAAAGAAAAGAAAAAAGAAAAAGAAAAAAATTAATAGCCCAAAGTGCCTCAGAGGTTATTTTTGGGCGTCTAGAACACCAAATTTTCATGGGGGAATTCCCCCGGACCCCTAGGATAATGTTATCTCGATCGGCCCCAATTTCAGCCCCGTTTTCAGACATCTCTGGATCCGCCCCTGCAAGTAGTTTATGCAAAGAAATAGCCTTGTTATCACATTGCATTATTTCTTTTACAATTATGGCATCACGCTGACATCACCATTAAACTTTGTTCTACCAATATGCATCAACATTCATACCATCATAGCCTTACCAACATCACCATTACATTATTATGTTTCAGATTTGATGTAAAAAGAAAAATAATTATATTATTATAATAATATTTTTTAAAATATTTACCTCTATGAGCCTCTGTACATGAAGCTTCTCTGTAGTAATGAATCCAGGAGCAGCAACATTACTAATTTGCATAACATAAACTTCATCCAGGTGTGAGATGTGAATGCTCATTGGTGATTGGATGTTTTGCATAAGGAGAACTAACCTCTTCACTCCTAAAATAATCAATTCAGTGTGGATGTAAATGCAAAATTTAAATTTAATGTTCATCAAATCTCATTAAAAATATACCACCTATGACAAATCTTAAAAAGTCCTACAAAAATCAATAAAAAATTGAATTGAGAGGATCAAAATGTTATCACTGAATGCAAAAAATGTTTACGCACACTTCATTACGAGAATCATTGATCAGCAGCCAATTTAATGGTGTATGCAAAAGTATAACTAGAGTTACAGTAGATGGGGATGGGGCCTGGCCCCTCATCCCCTGGCTGGCGCAACCCTTGAACGAAGCTGTAGCCACTGCAGAAAAAACTGATTTCTAATTTTACAGTTCAAGAGTCCATGCAAGAATGCACTTTCTAATGGTTGCTTCTGGGGTGGTGGGATCTGCCCCCACCACCGTCCCTGGCTGGCGCAATCCTTGAACGAAGCTGCAGCCACTACAGAAAAAATTGATTTCTAATTTTACAGTTAAAGGGTCTATGCAAGAATACACTTTCTAATGGTTGCTTCTGGGGTGGCAGGATCTGCCCCCACCACCGTCCCTGGCTGGCGCAATCCATGAAGCTGCAGCCACTACAGAAATAATTGATTTCAAATTTTACAGTTCAAGGGTCTATGCAAGAATGGTTGTTTCTGCATTATTTATGATTGCATTTTATTTGTATGTCTGTATATTGGAATCAAATAAATTCAAATCAGGAAACTATATTCTCATTCTAATTTTCAACTTAAAATAATTACTGTTAAAACCCTTTAATTTCGTGGCCCTTAAATTTTTTTTGCAATTCGAAAATTTGAAATATTTCGCGGCCTTTTATTTTTGTGATTTTACAATTTCCACTCGTTTTCTTTTAACATGATACAGAAACCTAGCATTACGTTTTTATTAGCGATCTTTATGTGCCCGCAATTTTTGCAATCTGGAGAATTAAGGGTGTGTGAAAATAAAGGGCTTTACATTATACAAAGTAAGACATTTAATCAAATTATATTTTAAAATTTTACAACGTATTACTGAGAGCAGATCCATGGAGTTCTCTTCTTAGCTCCATAACAGTTAGGACTTACCGATTGAGCCAAAATAAACACTTGATTGGTTGGTGATAAAATAAACATCATTGCCTTGGTTAGCAAATTGACATTCTATCACATGATCATCAACAAGTTCCAGCAAAAGGGTGAAGGAATTTGCTCCATCATCAGAAACCAACACCTGAAAACAATTAAGCACTGAATAACGCCTAAAAAAATAAATTTGTTGTCTACTCCTTTATATGATGCTGAAAATTGTATAAAAGGGGTGGATGCAAAAGAGATTTTTTTTTTATAGTTTTTTTTCTTTTCTCCTGTCACCAAAATTAAAATATTAGATCCCAATGCTTACAATTAAGTTTTTCAAAGGGTATTCATCAGACTGAATAAAAATAGCCCATAATCGATATTTTGCAATGATTTTACCTTATGAAAATACCTTACATCAGACACCAAATTTAGACAATTTTCATGTGCAAAATGGAGAAAATGAAAGATCACTTTTTAAAATTTGTGAACAAAAAATTGAAAAAAAAAAAAACTTTTTAAAAACACCGCCGCTTCTATTTTTCCATGAGCTAGGGGCGGGTGATGGAGGGCAAACAAACAATTTTTTTTAGGCCTACAATAAGCAATTATTGCAAGGTTTTTAACCAGAGCCTTGCAGGTGTCAACGTTCCTATGCATGATACATGACTTAAAATGTATATAGGTCCTATATATATATATATATATACGTGTATATATATATATATATACGTACATATATATACACATATATATATACGTATACACCTATATATACACACGTATATATACGTATACACGTATATATATATATATATGTATACACACGCACGTGTACATATATATGCGTGTACATACATACGCGTGTGTATATATATATATATGTATGTATGTATATTATACGTATATATAATATATTGGGTCTATACCCTAGCTGCACTGATGAGGCCTGGAAGGCCGAAACGGATCCGTCTGCAGATATTGGGATTCCTTCCAGTGGATGCTTAGTTTATTTTGTCATTCTGATCGGATTTTCTCTACTGT